ATTTTTAAAGGATGTTACACATTGATTAATAAAATTTTAGTTTCTTTAGTTTTTCTAAATTAAAACATTATTTATCATTTAACTAAATACAATTCAACCAATAGTAAATTAAATTGCAAAATACAAATAGTTAAAATAAATAAAAATATATTTAATTTTGTCTTGAAAATTCAAATAATCATCTAATTTGATATAAAAAAAAACTTCTAAAACACAACTTTGCTCCAAATTTAACATTAAAAAAACGTGATAATGGATAGATAACACAACTGGCGGCTAAAAAATGCTGTTGTCACTTGTGAAAATAACCATGCAACAAACACATATATACGTGATGTGATATATATAACTACTTTAACTTTAGTATTAATATGTGTTTAATTGAGTGGCTGTTAATTTCTTTCTGTAATTTGTTTGACTTGACAAATTTAGGTCAGTTTGACTATTTCCTTTTGTATACTTAGAGCAAGTGGTGATTCACATATAAATATACTCTTCGAGAATTTAAGAAGAACCTAGAAGTAAAGCATTATAAAATAAATATTTTATGGAGGAATGAGAAATAATGTGTGAAAAGGACAACATTCACTTTTTATTATTTAAGGGTACGACTTATATGTTAACGGGTGGGTCGAATCTGATTCAGATTTCATTTTTTTGCTTTAATTTATATTCTGTCAACGTTTAATGCTCCTATGTGAACTCTTTCGTTAACCACCCGCTTATTATTTAACCTTATTTATACTTAGATATTTTATTTATCACCAATAATGTAGTAAAAAGAACATAAAAATGGTTAAAAAATACAAATAAGTGAAAAATGAAACGTACCTTGCTCTACGGTTTTGAAACCAAACTTCAATTTGTCTTGGCCGTAGCATCAAATGCTTTGCAAGTGCTTCCTTTTGTTTCTACATTTTACGAAAAAAATTAGAGAAACATCAAATACAATTATTGTTCCAAGAAAAATATAAACAGAACTAGTTTTATTTTTTTTCGAAAACAAGTAGTTATGTTTTGTTTGAATAATTAATTAATAATTTACGGGATTAAGGGTATGATTTTGTCTAAAGCTATCTTCAAGAAGACGAGACTGTTCTCTGGTTAGCCGGAGTTTCTTTCGCGGCGGAGCAGAGCCACCGTGACTGAATTCTTCATCGTCTCCGTCAACTTCTGCACCGTCTTCAGACGAAGGCAATCGGTTCATGTCTAGCTTTAGATGTTCTCTCCCTCCACCACTTCCTTCATCTGAAACATTTTTTTTTGTGTCACAATCATATATTAACATACGAAATATTGTGATCAACGAAACTAAGACGTTATTCAAAACATTATATTATATACTTTTATATCAATTTTAGTTTCTAGAAAATAAGGCCATATGAGAATTTATTATCTATATATTTCAGGTTTAAGAATTTGTTAATATTACGTACTCATGATTTTTCCTTATAAAATGAA